CCAAGCTGCATCAATCTGATTTTTATTCTACAAGTTTTTAAAAAGATTGTCTTGTTAGCCGAATGGTTTTCCCTAAAACTAAGTCTAAGCTTCTTTTACTTTGCTGCATAACATGTTTTTTAATTACTGATTTACCGCTGCTGGAAGATTACGTGAAGAAGAAATGTGACCTAGGCTTTATCCACCAAAAAGGATGTCTAATTTAAGCTTGATAGTTTTGATATTGATGGAAGAATTGAAAGTTTTCCTTTCTCCTTCTCTCTTAACATTGCTGCACTATCTATACGAACAAGCCCTAGCAGGCGGCAACGTGTATGAAGCATTTGTTACTTTAAAACCCTGGTTCCAAAAATACGGGCAATTTTCGGAAGGGCGAGTAGCACATAAATTGAGATTGAAAATGTGCAAGTTTTTGAGACTTATGACCATTTATAGCATCATGTTTCTGTTTGCGCTACGGTGAGATAATATTTGAGAGGAACTGGTGTGATATGAGAACGGACTCTATCAGATGGTGTAATAACTCACCACAACAGTGACCGCTCCACACTGCAGCGCTCAGGCGTGCATAGTGTGTCGACAAAATCGTGTAATGAGCTGGCAAAAGGTTTTGTATGAATGCAGTAAGACTGAGTAGGAGAAAAAATGGCAAAAATAGGCAACCTCCATCTTTGGATATCTCAAATTCTGGAATAATACAGAAACCAATAATGAAAATTTTTAGGATGTTCCTATTAATTCTAGATTCCGGAGTATAATCCAATCACCAGCTCATTTCAAAGGAGCTGTATCATTTTTATTTGAGACCTCAATCCATGTAACCGTTGTCGATTTTTTTCTCACAAAAGTGATGCACTTTTACAAGTGAAGTCAAAGTATATTTCATGTTTCATGTACACAAAGTAATTAGTGGAGGACTATCACAAATGATTTGTCTCTCTGTTAGGATGAGTGTAAACTATTTTTTTCCACAAGTCTTAGCAGGCGATGTAGTCTGTTGAGCTTATTTTCCATTAAACAGAAAATTCCACTCAGATTTCTTGCGGGATTCACTATAAATGCATGAGGAAGCTGGTCAGTCTGGTTTGTTATCATTGCTTTTCATAGAAAAAGATTTAACTTCAACAAACTTCCGTATATG